CAATAAAGCGAAAATTAAAACTAATCTCCACATTTTATTTATTATATTTAATTTATTATATTTATTTTTATTTATTATATTTAACTCATATAGTTATTCCTACTGCATTCTTATATATATATATAACATTTACGATTTTTTAAATCGTAAAAGGGACGTAAACAATAGTTATTCCTACTGCATTGTTATATAACAATACAGTAGGAATAACTACTGTTTCGTTTTTGCTTTCTATTGTGAAATTTCTGCTTTTCAAAGCGGTGCCTACTAAATGTTTGAAAAAATTCTTCTTTACAACCATGTTCCATTACTTATGTCCCTTTTATGATTTAAAAAAATCGTAAATGTTACAAACAAGTATATAATTACAAAAAGATAAGAAAAAATTACGACAAAGATCACTGTACCTTTCATTCAGAACAATAGAAATAGGAATTTTCGCTTTGTAGTTTAACCTGATAGCTGCGAAACCACGTAGATCCCGTGGACTACTAACTAGACGCGAAGAGTCTAAAACGTCAGTGAACAATGCCGTATTGTTATATAACAATACAGTAGGAATAACTATTGTTTCGTTTTTGCTTTCTATTGTGAAATTTCTGCTTTTCAAAGCAGTGCCTACTAAATGTTTGAAAAAATTCTTCTTTACAACCATGTTCCATTACTTATGTCCCTTTTATGATTTAAAAAAATCGTAAATGTTACAAACAAGTATATAATTACAAAAAGATAAGAAAAAATTACGACAAAGGTCACTGTACCTTTCATTCAGAACAATAGAAATAGGAATTTTCGCTTTGTAGTTTAACCTGATAGCTGCGAAACCACGTAGATCTCGTGGACTACTAACTAGACGCGAAGAGTCTAAAACGTCAGTGAACTCTTTCATTAACCCACAAGTTGCTTCAATGCTTGCATACTGTGAAATCTCAAAAGGCCAAGTGTTACATTTCTGCATAGCAGCTCTAAAAGAGTCTGAAAGCTGGTGAGAATTTAGTTTGAGCATGCTATCTCCAATAGTTTTTTCCCTGAAAATAATGACTTCTGCTGAACGGCATCAATTTTACACATTTTTTCAAAAACATTGAAAAACATATTTTTTATGAATCGAATAACGAACACGTAAATATATAATATGAACAGCAAATTTTGAAAATAAGAAGTGTTAAAGAGCCAATTTTTAATCATGTTTAGGGTGTTATTTATGCTTCTTTGAGTACAATATTTAGTTTCTAGACAATTTAATATATAAACTTAGTCTAAAAATGCTCAGTTTTGTATGATAGTGTGGTGCATCGCTTTGTGTTTCCACTCTGTTACCATGTAATAATTTCATTACTTTGCTGTATTAAAAGCATTCTGAAATCTGTTACAAACCTTAGTTTTTCGTAAAATGTCAAAGCAAAAATCTCATCATCCAACAAATAGTGTCGCTCTATAGCAAGTATATGCGCTTGGAAGTCATATTTTTGTAGAATATTTCGATAAACTTTGCTTTTTATCCGAACAGAAAGTCTGAAAATTTCCAGTTGATTTTTTTTTTTTTGAAGAAACAGAAAAGCTAAACAAAAACGTTTGTATGTAAAGAAATAATGGATCAAATAGAGATCTAAGAAAATACAGTTAGACAATTAATATGAATCTAAAAATCGCAAAACATACATCTAGTGTATACATTACTAGAGTTTACAAACTTGAAAAGTGAGCAAAGTTCCTAACATTCCAAAAATCGGAAGGCGAATGAAATTCCTAACAACATACTTTTTAACAGCACAGTGGAGGCAATTACCAGCGTTGATATGCACATAACATTTAAAATGATTAACAGAAGAAAATATTTTGAGCCTGTTATGTAGATCGTCATCTTCCATATTCAATTGTTCCATCAGAGCAACAGTTTTGCCAACGAAAAAAATCTAGGAAAAAATACCGGAATAAATGAAATATCTTTAAAAATTTGGATCAGAAACTACGCAATGAAACTTTTCTTTCGACACCAATTTTATTTGTCGTACAGTTTTGAAAAATGTTTCCGATAGTTGATTGAAAAAATGTTTTTGATTTCTGACATTTTTCTAAAATGTTCTGTCCAACTTTTAAAAATTATTCTTTGAGCTCACTTTTTCTTCGAGCCCTTCAAAATGCTCAAAAATTAATGGCACAGACTCTTCTCTAATCTTAAATCTATTTGTCCAGTTTTGTTCCACCGTCCACTTGCTTTCTACTTCGATCATCCACTGAAAACAGTTTTTTTTTTCTTAAAAATAAATGAAGTTTATTCTAGCTACACGGAAAATGAAAACAAAATTGAAAAACATATGAAAATTTTGATAGGTGATTGTGAAGTGATTACTAATCACGGTTTTAAAATGAAAATGAAAGATTTTAAACTGAATTATTTCTTCACTTAACAGATAGAAGCAACGGGTAGTTACCAAATAGTAATAAAGTCCATTAAAGTACAGAATTTCAAAAATAATGAAACAATGAACACTGAATTTTAACTGCATATAAAAAATTATTAATAATTAATTTACTCGAAAACCGGGATCGATTAATTTTCCGTATATCAACCATTTGGTAAGGCACTCATGAAAAACATCCACCATAGGACGTAATAATAATTCCAAAAATTGCTGAATTAATTCTGCACTAACACTGAAACTTCATCTT